AATTACTTTTACGTATTTCTGGTATTACGTAAATATCGGCTACATAAAAACACGTCCCAATGTAAAATTTCATTGTACCTGAAGAAGGCTGGTTTGGCCAGCCGAAATATAGTACACCGTCAAAAAATCATCCTACGTTGTGTCGGTTTTTGCTTTTGTATTCCCCACATAAGGCCGCGCCTAGAAAATTAGATTACACAAGACGACTTGTAACTGTAACGTTTTTGACGAAACATTGTTACGTAAAATTAGATATCCTAAAATGATCATGTAACATAGCTCGCTGGACGACTTTTATCACACTATTTTGTTCCAGCAGTATTAGTTCATGGCTTCCAGACAAGGACCTGTAGATAAATCTTGTATCAATTGTTTTCTTCTCCTGTTCAGAACATGCTAGTCACTGCGTAGAAGACTCTTTGTGGAATTGCTCCACCATACTTCAAATCACTACTGGAGGAACGAAAAACGGCGTACAACCTCAGAGGTACCCTTAAATTGAATCTACCAAGAGTTACTACAACCTCCTATGGATTGCAATCGCTCAGATATGTTACTCCTCAAGTATGGAATACGAACGCGTTGCCTGATAACAAAAGAACTTCTGAATCCCTTTTTCCTTTTAAGCGCGCTATTCACAATGCTACTGTGTAGATTTTTATATTTTTAACGGTTTTTTTCAAGTGGTAAAAACAGTTACATCTCGCTGTCTTTTGCTAAAATGAGAACTCTAAATTTTGTTATGTTAAAATTGCAGTGAAAATCAATTCTGTTTCTCGGCGTGAAACGGGTTTTTCGATCAAAAAAGCAAATTAAACATTTCGTGACAAAGAAAACCATGCAAGAGCCAACGTGTCGCGCAGCGGTTTTCTTTTGCATGGGGCGTCTACGTTATTTTTCTCACTAACTCGCGTGGTTTTTTTAAACCTTTGAAAAAGAAACAATGAAATAATAACGATTGTTTTGCTTACTATCTTAAACCACGAAAAAGCCTTTCTATACAAATAATCACTTTCGACCGGTCATTATTTACCGTCTCTGGGATGGCGGAGGTTTTCGGCTAAAGACAGTAACATTTAGCTGATCCTCCATTTAAATGTTACTTTATTGAAGTATCCCCCTCAAAGCTTTTATAAATTTCATGATCCCCCCTCAATACCTTCGCACACATATTCACCTTTCGACATGTTACTTAACGGTCATATGACAGTAATATTTCTAATCATGATGCCGACTTACAGATTAACGAAGCCGCCATGGTGCAGTCTCTTGATCCGTGTCTTCCCGATATCTGATCAGGGTTCTAACAGAAGTTTTCATGGGCGTCGAATAAAGCATAACAGGCGACATAAATTAAAGTGAGGCCCGATTCGCCCGAAGGGACAAGCCA